CTTTACCTGTCGCCTCAGCTGTTTTTTTTTTTTTTTTTTTGCCACAACAGACTGATGCAGAGTTCGTGTCTCTGCAGACGCCGTACCAATCTGCTTGTTGATCTCCCATTCAGTTCTTCTCTCATTTGTGAATAAATCCCCCATGGTGGTCAGACTCCTCCATTTGGGGCCGGTTTTCATCCCCGATAGGTAGAGGGCACTCCAACGTTTTCTGACGAAGAACCATAGACTCAGATTTGAAAGTACTATTTCACAACCCAGCTGCTTCACACTCGTCAGCAAACTGCTCCATGGAGAGTTGAAATTTGTGGCTTTATGAAGCCAACAGAACTACATCATTGACAAGAAGCTGATGTGAGACGGAGTCCCACGCCTCAACGTAGAGCTCAGATGAAAACCATCATTGCTTCTGAGCCATTCCAAAAAATTGCAGCTGACATACTTCGACTCCCTCCATCACAAGTATGTGCTTGTGGTTGAATATTACTTCTCCAAATGTGTCAACCTTTATGCCATTCCAGACCAACGCTTCTGAGCCATTCCAAAAAGTTGCAGCTGACATACTTCGACTCCCTCCATCACAAGTATGCGCTTGTGGTTGAATATTACTTCTCCAAATGTGTCATGTGCCATTCCAGACCAACACGCGAGCTGCTTGGCATCCAGAAAACCAGAAGCAGTCCATATCCTCCACAGTGTGATGGCATCATTAAAAGCTTCAGCAGAACTCATGAGTAAGTCAAATCATTTCTTCAGCAACCCGGTGAATGGCGTGACTGTCTAAACCTCATTACCTTGACTTACACCATAAGCTCTCACGCTTCAAAATACTTCATTATTTCTTATTTGGTCATGAAGCCCATATGCCTGCTAACCGGTTGTCATTAAGCAGCACATTGAGTGAGTCAAATCATATCTTCAACAACCTGGTGAATGGCATGACAGTCTAAACTTCATTACCCTGGCTTACAACACAAGCTCTCACGCTTCAAAAGACTTCATTGTTTCTTATATTTGGTCAAGAAGCCCATATGCCTGCTAACCTGTTGTCATTAAGCAGCACACCATACCATCTTTATCTACATTGGGTTCCCCTGCTGACTATGTTGCACAGTTGACCCAGGAAGTTTGATCAGCCTTCCAAATTTTTTAATGTATATATAGATAGATAGA